CTTTCTCCTAAAATACATAACAACACAATTTGTTTTAATTAAGCCTTGGCATGCAAAACTGTACATGGCACAAGAACCATCACGTATTGAAACGCATATTCACATTATGAAACTTAAACTTTGTATCCACCCCACCCACCCTGACCCCACCCCACCCCCTTCCCCAACAGCAAGTACTGAGTACTGTAACTTGCTTGGACCCTCGCTACAATAACTTTCTCCAACCCTATAATACTGATAATTCTGACTGGTGCAGAACTCTCTTAACTTTCGTAGCCCATTCCATATGGGATAATATGGTGGCCAGTTTGACTTTCTGTTTGCCGTCACGTCAGGTGATTGATACTCGGCCTCGATATCCCAAATGATAGAAATAAAGCAGGATTTTTTCAAATACAGCTCCCTAAATTCAACTAATAAATACAGCAACAACATACCTAGACTGTCCTTTCTCAATGGTGTCTGGAAATCTTTTCAAATTCTATTCCAGCTGAAGCAAATTGACACTAACTGGAAACTCCGCAAAATTACAAATAAAAGTTAAAACAAGCGATGACGTTTCGTTCGCTTGCTCATTGGTTAAAATACTGTTAGGAAATGACGTCACCTGGGGAATCCCCGGTTTTATCAGCCTCGTGACTACACAAATCGAAAGTACACACTGGGTAAAAATTTTGGGAATTTTTCTTACGTGTAATGCGAGCATCTTTGCTCAAAGTGAAAAAGATGAAAAATTCGACCTGATGGAGACGAATACTGACGCTGGGGTTGTGTCTGAATGCTGTCTCCACGTGAGCGGGCTTACCGTAGACACCAGCCCGGAGTCTCTGCTCGATTATTTTCAGGAAGAATGCCGTCGCTTGGGCGGAGGTGAGGTCCGCCATGTTGTATGTCCTAAAGAGAAAGAGGCGGTGGTCAGATTCAGTGACAAGCATGGTAATGGCTGTTTTCGTAGACTATAATACACATTTATAGTTTTTTGTAATTCTATTTCTTCGTGTATGAATTAGCAGGTACCGGTAGGCGTACGAATCGGACAAGCAAACACACGTCCAGTTATCACATAGGAACGAGCTGTTCAAAATGGTAGATGCATGTAGATCGAATCAGTTTTATACAATTACCTCGAATAATATTAAGCTTTACCTGTATTAGGTCAAATGCCGAGGCAATGTTTGCACATTAATTCTGCTCTCCATTCCTAAGTACCCGGTAATGCAGCACAAACTATTTTAAGGCATTGCCAGGGATGGTAATGCTAACTTTTTCCTTGAGGGGGATATATTCTCTTTTAAAGATTTAAATGAAAAAATGTTCTGGAGTTAATTTGCACAAGATGGGGAAATTCACTAATTATTTTTCTTTAATCTGTATTCCTATTCCTTGTAGTATATCTTGTTTAACTGGTTCATGTAACTGTAGGTGATGAAAAAAACATTGCCATATATATATATATATATATATATATATATATATATATATATATATATATATATATATATATACCTACAGTTCATATACCCTCTACCAGGGTGAGTGATAGATTTTTTACAGATATTCACAGATATGTCTCTAGCTAGATACAGTAGATAGGCCATTTTCAACTCAACTCACCCTGTTGATTAAAGGATTTGCTCCATGCCGTCAGAATGGCCTGAACGGAACATATTCTTCAGAAAACATGCCCAACTAACGATATCTTTATCCAAATTCACAAATTAAAAGCTCATTTTGTAAATTTTTGGCTTTAAAAAACGTCCTATTTGCTCGGCCTGAGAGTTAATGAGCTATGTTGTCACGTGGTCTGATGACGACAATCGAGCCACTGGAGAATAGAGCGTGCTTAGCTGTTAAACTGAGCTGCATTGTCTACCTGTAAGATGACTTCTCTGGCTTCTGATAAAAGTTTATACTCATTCAAATCTCTTACCCGAGGGGTCTAAATCCTCGTGAAGCTGTGTAAAACC